TTTGTTGATCAGACTTATTAACTAAATCTATTGAATACTCAATGATTCATTTAATCAGATTATCAGCTCTTACTGCTCTCTTGTATTCTGAATTTCATCAGGGATGATGTGCATTGAAATCCCCTGCAATTATAGAGTTTCTTAATGAAGTTATGTTCAGAAATTCTCTATCAATTGTTCAGATATTGTTATTTTCCTTCAATGACTTTTCATTATAGATATTTATGAGCTGTATAGTATCAAACTCATTCTCTTTATCTATAATATCACCCATCAGAATATCAGGGTCAGACATGATATTAAATCTTAGATTAAATTGATATCTTGATCTCTTTCTTTCATAGATCACTACTCTTGACTTTATCTCAGACTTTTGAGGTAGAAAGCAGTAGTAGCTTGAATGAGAAATGATGTATTTTTACTCAGTATTAAAATTCAGTTTCTGAAGCAGTACAAAATCAACTTTTTATTCAAATACAATTTGAAGACAAGAATAAATACAATTTGAGTTTCTATTCACATTATTTTGAATAAATGTGATTTTTGAAGAGTTTTTAAACTTTTTTTGTTGTCTTTGTTGTATATTCATACTAAAAGAGAGTAGAGATAGAGTAGAATCTAATGACTATTATCAGATAGTAGATTATAACTATTTTGAAAAGTAGGAATCTCAACTGCTTATATTATATCTAGTTTATCATCAGAGTCATTTCTCAATTCTCTAATCTCAACAGGAGTTTGAGGATTCAAATTCTGTTTATATTTAGCTGGAGAATTGAAGTTTGAAGATTTAGATAGTTGAGAGTTTCTTCTTTTTGAGCTTGCAGTTGTAAGTTTACTGGCTTGACTCTTCTCTTCAGTTCTAGATTGACTTTGAGCTTCATCTTTTCTCCAGTTCTTTTGAGTTCTTGAAGCAAACATACATTCTTTTGAGCTAGATGCATGTTTTTCTTTGCAATTAGAGCACTTAAGCAGAGTGTGTTGACATATTTCATCACTTTTTGAGCATGTTTCACATTTATGCTCACTAGTTTTGTGATCTCTGGCACAGAATGCACATTTTGAGTCTTTAAAACATGAGATTGCAAAGTATTCATATCTTTGACAGTTTGAACACTGTGTTTGAGCTTTGAGATTCATTCTTGAGTCTTTGTATTCATGAACTCTCATTTTCAAACCTGTTACTCTTACTTCAGAGATCTTGGACTGTTCAAGTGTCTTTGTATATACTAGAACAGAGGCATTTCTTCTGCTTTGTCTGAACTCAATTGAATTTAATTATACAGGCTCTTTTCTCAGTTGAATAGAGTTGTATTCTTCTAATTCATTTTTGAGAAGTAGTATTTCTTCTTCACAGTCAAAAATTTCAACTGGAATATTATAAAGAATGAATTTGTCTCACTTTTCATCTCTCTCAGATAGAATTGTTGTGTTTAGCAAAGATTCTACTACTGATTTTCAGAGATTCTCATTCTGAATAAGGAATTCTGCACTGAATTCAGGCATTGTAGTCAGAATGATAGAGTTTTCAAAGAATGATGACTCAATTGAAGCTATAACTGATTTTTGAACTTCAATATCAGTCATCAACTGAGAAAAGAACTGCTGATTAATTTCATTTCTGATTCTGAAAATGAGATTTGAGTTTAGCTTGTTTCTTTGTAAGATGTTCTGATTTGAGACTTTGAGAATAAGTCTTCTATTTCTGAAGATTTGGAAGTTTTTCTCTTTTTACATTTTTTTCTGCACTTTTTTATGAATAGAAGTATGAGCAGTATTCTTCTCAGTTTTCTCAGGATTTTGAGCAGATTTTGAGGCAGCAGGTTTAGAGATAGCAGATTCAGCTGCTTGAGCATATGTTTTCTTCTGATTTAAAGAAGAAGAAGAAGTAGAAAAAGAAGAAGAGCAAAATAATGAGTCAGTGATTGTACTAGGAATTTTCAATGTTTTTTGAACTGTGTTTGAAATTCCAAGTTTGAACTTGATCATCTCCTGTAGTTGTCTGGCCTGAGTATGAAGAATTAACAGAACTTCTTCATTCATCTCACTCAGACACTGCTTTTCAAGAATCTTGCTTGCTTTTTCAAGTTTCTGTATTTCAAGAACTTGTTGTTTCTCTATTTCTTCTTTCTTTCTTCTCTTCAGAATTTCAATCTCAGGGATAGCATTTGAGAAAGCATCTCTTTTCACATCAACTGAGTGTATTTTTGAACTCATTGTTCTCACTCAATGAAAAGTTGATCAGACTGATTCAATTGAGATATTTATTGAACTCTTTTGAATTGAAAAGTTGGTCAGACTGTTTCAATTAAGAGATTTCTAAGTCTGTTTTCAATTGAAAAGTTGGTCCGACTGTTTCAAAAGAAGAATAAAAGACTTTTATGTATAAAACACCTGATTTTTTTTTCACACTAGTTCAGTAACTAGGTTAGATTTTTGAAGAGAATCTAATAAACTAACATTGATTTTTAAGATAAATCAATAAAATCTTTACAATCTCTTTCTTGAGATACAGTGAGAAAAAGTATGATATCAATTGATAATAAATCAGATGATATGACAGTTTTTAAGAGAAAAACTGATAAAAAATAAATCAATTTTTTGCAGAGAAATTGATTAAAACTATTCAATTTTATTCTAAATCATTCAATTCTCCTCACACAACAAGTGTGCAACTCAAATCAGTTAATAAAGAGTGTAAAAAAGAATTAAGTATTAATGAAAGCTCTTCAGTCACTGAAAAAGTAATTCTTACTTAAAAGAATATGAAATTATGACAGAAAATAACTCTGTTTTTAATTCTTTGTAAGAATATTGTGTAAAATCCAGAGAAAAACATCTTACTTTTTCAAGAGAAGTAAAAAACTATTTCTAAGATCTTTTTTTTTTGCAATAACTGCTGCAGAAGAATGAGATAGAAACTGCTAAGATATGCACTACTGTATACTCTCTATCAAGACTTTCCCTCTTCAGAGTCTTGATATTATAGAGAATATAAGTCTGTTTCTATATAATAATGTAAATATTGTCAGCGGGATGTAGAGAAACTGGTTATTTATATCTCAAAATAGAAGACTTTGTCAATGATTATATCAATATAGAGTTAATTCTCAAATTCAATAGAAACCTAGTGTTGCTGTTCTCAATCCCTTGCAGAATCTATTGAATATTGAGGTATAGACTGACCGTGTGACCGTGTCTGAGACCAGGACCAAACTTTACAGTTGTCATGTTGCCTAAAAGCATTACTCCTGGTCATGGTTTGTGTTCATCACATTGATCCCAAATCCTGTTATTTCAAATATTAAAGATCCCAGATTCACTTTTCAAATAAAAATCTAGTCTCAGATAAAGAATATGTTTGAATTCTTAGTTACATTTTCATTCTGATCTCATTATTGAAAATGGCATCAAATGAGATCATGAAATCATTTCTCACTTACATAATATCATAATATAGTGCTCATTTGTTGAAAATTCAACAGAGAGTGTTATTAAATATCATTACTTTTCTGAACACAGATTATAATCAATATCATTTTAATTAAAAAAAAAAATGTACAATACAAAAAATAACAAAAAAACAAACAACAAAATAACAAGAAAAAATCACAATAAAAAAAAAAAAAAAAAAAAAAAAGAGAAAGAAAAAAAGAAGAGAAAGAAAAAAAGAGACAGAAAGAGAAAGAAAAATAAAAAAAAAAAAAGAAAAGAAAAAGAAAAAAATAAAAAATAAAAATAAAAAAAAATCAAGATCACAGGGTCACAGTACTCTTAAAATACTTACTTCTCAGAGTCTTTACAATGTTCATCATCAATCATGTATTTCTCACAGTGAGAGTAACATGACTGTGATGAGTCATTGTCTTAATATCATCTAACAAATAATCAGTATATATCTATATAAATGTGAATAATTAGAAAATATACACTTAAAAAGTGTGATCAGAGTGAACTCTGCTGTCACTTGAATGATATCAAGAGCAGAACACTGAAATCAATGATTCTTCTCATTGATTTCACAGACAAGACATGTGAAGATGATCTTGAAAAATATAAGATTCTCAGACTTCTGATAGAAACAGATCTCACAGAGAGACTCTATTTTCATCATATCAGAGACTGAGTATTATTAAAAAGCATTACTTTAATGCACATGCACTTACTGCAGTGATTCACTCTCTGCACACATGACTGAGAGTTGCAGCTTTCTCACGCTGCACAGCTCTCTCTGAGATGCTGCTGCTGGTTTGCAACTCACACAGTCTCTCAGTTCAGCACACACTGTGTATATACAGCCCTGCATGCTGGGGCTGTGTTGGTCATTATGGCCTGGCGTGGTACTCACTTTTCACAGGTCATGTTTCATTTGATTGAGAGGAAGAAAGGGGACATGACTGCTGTTTTATTTGAGAGAGAGTGAGTAATTGAATCTGTAGAAGATAATTTGATTTCTTCTGCATTTGAAATTTGATTAGTCTATACTCTTCAATTTGAGGGTTTCTGAGAGTGTTTTAATAGTTTTCATACCAGCTTGAAATTAGTGATTGATTGAAGAAGAGAAAAGAGAGAAGAAAGAACTGAGAATAACTTTTCTTTATAATATGAAAACAGAGAATTGCTGTAATCATTTATTCTAGTATCAAAGATCTGTTTTCTGCATGTATCTCTGATACAGATTATATGATAACGGTATACAAAGAATACTACAGTGCATGCATTGAATAAAGATGATGTTGCTATGCAACACTGTAGCTGTTCTGTACATCACTAAAAGCTATTAATATTTTCTTGAATCTCTTTATATTTGATAAGTCAGTAATATTTTCCAATGCACTTTCTCTTTCATTATTATCATCATCATCATCATCATCATTATCATCATTATCATTATCATCATCACTATCACTATCATCATTATTATTATCACTATTATCATTATCATCATCACTATCATCATTATCATCTTCACTCTTCTTCAACACTCATTGAAACCAATCATGTCATTCCTCTTCAAATATTCTGCGGTCCTGCGGATATATTCTGCGGTCCTGCGGATCATCAAGGCGCGTGAGCAAGAGAAGAAGAAGATGTTCAAGTGAGAGAAGACAGATTGTAAGACACATTATAATGCCTTGAAGAGACTCTGTAAGAGAGTAGAATGATAATGATTTTAAGTAACACTTCTGATAGATTTAGACTGAACTAAGTATAGAAATAATACAGATAGCACTGTCTGTGAGAGATTGAAGAAGAAGACAGTGAAGAGTCTCATACAGCAGTGATAAGATCAGAAGAAGTTCTGAGAATAATTTGAGGTCAAGATGAAGAGAGAGAGAGAGAAGAAGAGTGTTACTGTAAATAAGCAGTAGCAGAAGAAGATTGAGAGAGTATTAAAGTAGAAGATAAAGAAGTCAAAACTGATAAGTTTTTTATTTATTGAGAGATAATGATTTTTGATAATACTTCTGTTCTCTAATTGATTAGCAGGAGCTGACAGAGGAGAAGGGAATTGAGGCCTTGTTCAGATCTCAAATGCACTTCATGATTCAGAACATTGAGAAGACAGCCCTGCTCTCTGAGCATGCTAATCTGCTTACTGCTGAGATGAAACCTGAGACAGCAGACCAGGAAATGCAGGATTTTGAGATACAGGTTGACCTGGCTGAGAGGGAGCAGTGAAAACCCTTCTCTGAGAAGGCAGTGAAGAGAGATTTTGAGATAATTATCATCTCAGATGAGAAGGAGAAGAAGAAGAAGAAGAATAAGAAGTGAATTATGAAGAATAATAAGAAGAATGAGAAAGAGAAGAAAGATGATGAGTAGAAAAAGTTTTTTTCTTTTTATATTAGTTAGTTGTAAGTTCATAATTATTAATAATTGAAATTAATTTTGAGTTTTTAAAAATTATTGTACAAGTTGTAATCAAGTCAGGAACAATATATATATATATATATATATTTAACTATCATGATTCACAAATCACTATAATGTATAAGTATCAACATTTTTTCAACATTGATATTCATAATATTAATATATTTTTAATGATATTATCTGATAACACAATTTAGTAATGCTCTCTTTCACAATATTAATATATTTCAAGAAATATGACAGAGATTAATCAAGATTGTTTATTTACTTTTATATATCAATGATATTCAATCTGAGTTAGTATGAAAATTATAACTAAGCTAAGAAACAAGATTATTTTCTCTTATATTAATTCTTCTTACACACATCAGTGATCAGTTATTGAAAATAAATTATCATCTTTCTCAAATTATTATCATATCTTCTGAATTCACTTCTTTCACTTCTTTTACTTCTATTGAAGATTCACAAACTCTTTAAGAAATCACTGTGAATTACAAAGTCTATATTGTTTACAATTCAATACAGAATGCTCTCTTTCAATCATGATGAATGATCACTTCATTCTTCACATCTGATTTCAGGTCATGAAATTTATGAAAAACTCAACACAAATATTGAGATGAACTATGAAATAATTATCAACAGGTTGTATTACAGATTACTGAAGAGTCATCTCTCTGCTACAATCACTGTAACTTCATTCAGAAACATTTATCATAAACTGATCATAGCTCTGAAGAAATTTCCTGACATCTGAAGTCATCAGAATGCAGACAATAAAAGAAAAATAATCAGAAAATTACTACTGAGCTGGTAAGTTGCTCTACCAGGTAATGATTTTTGATAACACTAACTTTCTAATTTGAAGAAAATCATGTGAAAACAATCTCATATCAGTACTCTGATTTCACAACTCTCATCTGATAACTTCTGTGAACAATTACTTTGCATGTGTATATCTCTGAATCTTTCTCTTTGATCAATTGAAAACCCTGAATTCTGAACACTTCTTCAAATGCTTAATTCAAATCTTCATATTTCACATCAATTCTGTCTTCAGTCCAACCTTGAGATATACTACAAAGTCAATATATAATATCTAGAATCAGAGTTGAAGAATCATTGAAGAGTGTCTCTCACAGTGAATGCATGAACTAGTACAAACAATCTTGCATTTATAAGAGTTATATGTTATTATATTGATAAGAACTGAACTTATTGAGAGACATTAATTGAATTTGAATCATTGATCAGTAGTCATACTGAGAATTATATGGCAGAGATATTAATGACTGTGATTAAAAATGACTATTGAGATATTAGTCTCAGTCTTCTTACAATTACAACTGACAATGCTGTGAATAACTACACTATGATGAAGAGCTTGGAGCAAAAATTGGCTTTGCATTTGTGAAATGATAAACACGGTTATATCTTCTGCATTGCTCATGTGGTTCAACTTGTGATGCAAACACTGATAAAGAATCTTAATATCAAGATAAAGAATAATGAGATGACTGATTCTTGAGATGAGAATGAGATGAAAGTAATTACTCAAGTAACTTTTACATTCACTTTACAAAAGATAATGTTTTTTGATAACACTTTTTGATATTGCTTTTTGATAACACTTTTTGATAATACTACTGTTAATTTTGAATAGATTGACTAATAATTTAAATATCATAGATTCAAAACATTGCTAATGTGATTTATATCTCTTCTAAATAACAACAATGATTTCATGATATTTAATAAACAAACAAATCAGTCACATCACTGAATATGATACAGAATGTTAGAACACAGTGAAGTTCAATATATAAGATAACTGTTCAGACTCTTCAATTGTGTCAGATGATTGATTATTGAGTACAACACTCTGATTGAGAAAAGATTCAGATATTGAAACTTTCTGATATGAAGTGAACTCAGTTGAAATATGTGATTGATTTACTGTTTCAGTTTTATAAGATAACAAAGACAGTCTCAATCACTTGTACATCAATGCTGCAGTCAGCCTGATGAGTGTATAACAGTTTATTTACTCATCTTGAGAAGCAGTTGAATCACTCAAAAAGAAATTCAGTCTGAGATAATGCTATAGTGCAGGCTATTGTTGCTGTAAGAGATAAACTGGCATATTACTACAGTAAAATGAAACAATCTTTTGCAGAGTACTATGCTATAGCAGCTCTACTAGATCTCTTCTGTTGAGTTAATATCTACACTTCTCAAGATTGAACAGAGGAGAAATGAGACTCATATATTAAATTAATCTGAGACTACTACAATGTCAACTATCAGAGATTTGAATGAGCAGATATTCAAGATGTGAAGACAGTGAAATACAATTCCCTAGTAAGTAATGATCTTTGATAACACTTCATATCACATAGAACTATAATACTAACTTTGAAACAGAACTTGCATACATTGATTGCAACTGAAAATCAGGCAAAACTACATACTTATAAAACTGAATTTGACTGCTATCTTCAAGATGATCTGACAAATTTACATGTCAAATCAATTCTAGAGTTATAAAAAATTGTTAAGAGTACATATTCAACTGTTGCACTGATGACATGTGATATTCTGACAATTTCATTGACAGAGATGAGAATGGAGCAAAAGTTCAACTTAAGTTAAGATATTTATCACTATCATCAGGGACAATTATAAGGAGAAACAATCAAGAAACTCATGATTATAAAATATAGAATTATCAGACAGTTTAATACCTCTGATCACAGTATATCAGAGAAGTGTAGTTTTCATGAGAAAGTGAAGAATAAACTTGCACAAGAATGTATTTAGTTGTTTCATGAGTGTTATCAATAATTATTATCAAATTCTGATTATATAAGTAATCACTGAATGAACTGAATGAGACTGATTTTGATCTTCAGTCTCAGTCTCATTCTGATTTTGAAAGAATGATCATCTTTCACAGTTTATCCTGGAAAATTACTCTCATTTCACTGTTCTTGAATTAAATCTGGTCATTTTTCATGCCATTTCTCTCAGAAATGGTCCATTTTCAGATTTTTTTGAGGCTTGGTCCTGGTGGGACTCACGCCAAGAAATGTATGGGACCAGACCAAATGGGACCAAATGTGAAATTCATGGTCCCGGCGGCCAGTCTAGCAGGGAGTGGAAAAACGCTTTTCAACAGGAATGACATACTCACTAGAAGGGGTGCAAGCTATTGATTAGAAATCACAGATGATGCAATCTGCTATAGATGAGCAATTTTAATGATATTAAAAGAAGAATCTATCACAAGGTTAATGAATTTCATTGCAGATATTGAGACAACTACACAATGTTGAGTTGAAACTCTACACTGAGATGATGAAGAGGAATTCAAAGGTCAAGACCTTAAGGCCTACTGCCAGAGCAAAGAAATAGCATATGAAATGACTATCTCTGACATGCCACAATTGAACAGTTCTGCAGAATGTGTCAATTGTATTGTAGCTGAGAAGATGAGAAGCTTGCTATTTAATAGTGAGCTGATGAGAGAGCTTTGAGATGAAGCAATGCAAGCTGTGATCATGATGATCAATACATTCTCAATGTCAATGAAGATCTTCAGATGCAATAAAAGTTCTTCCTCACTTACATCTTTTAAAGCTTGAACTGAGGTGCAGCCTTCTGTTCACTGAATAGACAGATGAGAATGCAAGATTTATAAGAAGAATTTGAAGATGTTTAATAAGCTCATGAATAGAACTGATGATAAGGAATAGCAACTAGTTGGCTTTCAAGGATTACACCAGTATTGCATATGAGATTCTATTGCATATTGCCTAGAAATCGTGTGAGATGTTGTATTTGATGAAGCTCTTGACACATGAATAATCATAATCACACCTGTCAACACAGCTAAGAAATTGAATGAATTGCCAGAGAAATTGAATGTTCTAGATGCTAATAAGAGATGACAGCACTGCTTGCTGCAATGCCTAGTCAAGAAAAAATCAGATGTTTTGAAAATGATTGTGAATAAAGACTTAGAGAGTGTGATCAATTCAACCTATCTTCTAGATAATGAGATACAGCTTGTTGAGAATGAGAACTCTGAAGATCTCATTAATGAGAAGGATTCTGTTTTTAGTGTTCTGACAGACCGCTTAACCACACTGATAAAAGTCAAAAGAAGCTCAGATTGAGACTATTGATATGAAGCAATGAAAAAGAAAGTCAAGATATTTGAGCAGAAGAAGATGTATATTATTATTGAAAAGACCTCAAATATGAACATTCTAACTGAAAAATGAGTATTCAATCACAAGTTCAATAATAAGAATGAAACTATTCAGTTCAGAGCTCACTGAGTGATTAGAGGATTTCTTCAACAGCAAGAGATTCACTATGTAAGATTATATACTGCAGTTGTGTCAGGGCCTACATCATGTAGCTTATTCACTATATCAACTGCAAAAGAATGAAAGATTAAGTCAATTGACTATGTATCCGCATTTTTGAATAACATATTATCACAGAATGAGATGATCTATATGCAATTGTCTACAGATGTTAAACATGACAGAGAGGACTTGATGAGACTACTTCATCAGAGTCTATATGAAATGAAACAAGTAGTAAGAGTATAATATTTCCTCATGATGAAACATCTTACTATGTTGGAATTTAAAATATTATCATATGATGAGGGTTTTCTATATCACTCTATTTGCAAGATCTATCTGACATTACACATAGATAATTGTTGAGTGATGAGATCTCAAGAACATCAATTAGATTGAATATTGACAGAAATTGTAAAAAGATTTAAGACAAAGAATGTTAAAGAAAATAAGCCTTATCTTGAAATGAAAGTGAAATGCTAAAGAAATAATGATCTGGCAGTTATACAGAGTCACTATATTGAGGAGATTCTTGAGAATTTTGACATGAATAAGGTGAATTCAGCCAGCATCTCAATGATGGCTGGCATATGCCTAGAATTTTCACCAGATGAGGATGAGGGTTTGAATGATGATTTCACAGCTACAAGATATCATCAAGGCTTAGATTCATTGCAGTATTTGATCTCAAGCAGCAGATCAGATCTGGCATTCATGATCAACTATCTCTCACATTTTAACTCACATCTGCACAAGGCATGTTGAGCAGTGTTGAAGCATGTTCTATGCTATGTCAAGAAGATGAAAAATCACAGCATATTATATAAGAAGGAGATTGAGAGCCTGAGTCTTGTTGTATACTGTGATTCAGACTGGGCAGGGGTGAATTCTCAATACAAATCAACTACAGGCTATGTTATATTGATTAATGAGTCACTGATCTCATGGCAGTTGCAGAGACAGACATCTATCATCAAATTGATCACAGAAGCTGAGTATATTACAGCTAGCAAAGCAGCTTGCAAAATAATCTGATTGAATGACATGCTATATGACACTGAGTTAGTGAATGATGAGAAAGCAAAAATATACTCACATCTATGAGTTGATAATAAGAAAGCAATCAATCTAGCAAAGAAGAAGTTCTTAATATGAAGATTACATCATATTGAGATTAGATATCATATTCTCTGTGATTTGATTGAAAAAGGGAAAATCATGATGGAACACATTGATTCTACAGTCAATATAGCTGATGGCCTCACCAAGCCACTGGCAAGACCTGCTTTTGAAGAATTTGTCAAAAGAGTTGGCATTCAAGAGATTGGGAAAAAGGAATGATTAATGATAATGATGATACAGCTAATCAATGGATTTTGCATGTGTTTCTTGATTTTTACAGTTATTGCCATACAGACGCCTTTTCTAATGAGGAAATCAGGGTCCGATTGATGTAATTAATTATTATTGTGTTTTTGAAGGAATTGAAGATGGGGGGAAGCCCCGGGTGGCAGGCCTGGTAGGCCACGGCGTAGCAAGGGGGGGTGTTGGTGTTTACTACGCCTACCTCAGTCACGTGCCACCCAACCTGTTTAGTAAGAGCTCGCGTAGCTAGATTACAATACACAACAACGTTATCCTCCAAGACAGAATATGAATAGAACAATACGGAGTACAAAAATATGATATATTTGTCGCACCTGCATTGATTGGTAAGCTCTTGTTTTCTTTACTAGCATGTTCAACTGCCCTGTTTATTGCGAATATTACTCCTACGATATACAAGTTTCTTCCTTCCTTATCATCGTCAGCATTGGATGCACAGCATTTAGGTGTATTGAAACTTTAGTTTCCAAGTCCAGAAAGGCTGCAATTTTATTAGCTGTCTCCTGTTTTCTGTATCTGGAGAGCGGCTTGTTAAAAACAGGTTTGGCTTTTCCTCGTCAGATTCCGGTTCTCATTAAATGTCGGCAGCAGGGTTTTATGATACTATTAGTCGTAGCTCTACCAGGAGACGCGAGCAAACCCAACAGGTCTCAAACTATCTCAATTAGTGATAAAAAATATATGCTGAAGCTGCACGTAGTAAATCAAGGCAATGTTGAAAGAATTCAAACGCCAAAAAAGAGCATTGGGTATTATAAGATAAGTGTTGACTACATATATCGGGAGGGAAAAAAAGCCAAGTAAAGTGTGAGGAACAACAGCAACGTGTAGAGAATGCCTATTTCAAACTGCTGGAATGACTGAGTTGCTGTAGGAGCGTGGCAGTTTGCTCTGCCGAATAACCAAAAAACACAGGCCCATGAAATACCATCTTAGGCTGAACGGAGGAGGTCGGGGGTGGTTGCCTTTCACCATTATTGGGAGAGATAAAATTGTCGGGAGGTAGATGTCTTGGAGTCTCCTCTGTTTGTACATCGGCAACCGCAGAGCCAGGAACACTCGTCGGTGGTTGGGCGTCCTTATCCACGAGATTTTTGAATGGGCATCGACCCGCAGTCGGCGGTGATCTCATCTTCTCCGGCAATGGGGTCGAGACGGATGACTGCTCCAAGCCATCCTTCTCATAATCTTCCAACCGAGGACTTCCAGTTACACCAGAATCGACAATTGGTGCAGCTGGTGACAAATTAGGACTCGGAACAACATTCTGATGAGAGATAGGAACATGGATTCCCCAAGGTCGACTAGGTGACTCTCCTACTCGCACGTCTCGTAATGACCTGTTGAAATAGTTGCTCCTTTGTTCCTCGTCATCGTCCTCTTTCTCCTCCTTAGCATGATCTTCCTCTCCACGGGAAGCCGGCATGACCTCTATCTCTGGGGCTTTTGCGCCAACCTCCTCGGCCCATTTTTCTACTCTCCCGATAGAAACCGAGGCCGTATCACCTGGCCTACCAGGTCCTTGGGTTGAGGGGAGATACGGTTGATGATAAAGGCCTAGTCCTTTAATCATATTGACCATGTCCCCATATTTCTCATCTAGTTGACGGATGCTCTTCGAGTCTCTTTGATACCGCTGAATACAAATAGCATGGCTGCGAGGTATCTCATGCTTGTGTTTTTGGAAATACTTGGCCACTTCCTCTGGAGAGTGGTCATCTAGATACCTAATAGGACATCTGGGAACAGCGTCTTGCACCGAGCAAGACCGAGTACCCTGGAGAGATTCAGCTTTGATAGGGTCTAGGTCATGCGCGCAAGTATCTGAACTTTGGTTCGCCAACTTAGGTGCAGGCCCAGTGCCATTCGGAATTGCAAAGGGACAACGAAGGTTACCTTGCACACCCTTGACAGTGAAATCATGCTCAAGAGAAGACCTAGCTTTCGCATCCACCGCAACGAGACACGTATTGTTATTTTGATGATACCCATCGCGCGTAATGCGTCTATCGGCCAAGTTTCGGTAGGCTTCAAGTCCTTTGGCGATAACGTCGAGCTCTGAAGTTGTGATGTAGCCAGCTTTCTCTACATCGTAAATCCACCCTGTGTGGTCTGCGGGTGTATCGCAGTTGGATTTTTCAAAAGGAACAGGATATATCTTTTCAGCTATTTCTGTTTCAGTGCCAGAGCGGTTGGGCAGCTGGCTGGCAAGTTTCAAGTACTGGTTCATCATCACGTCAGTTAATGGTACTTCGATAGTTGGATGTAATGAAGTAGTGATAAAGGGTATGCCAAAATCAGCTAATACATGCAAGTGAATCAGTCACCGCCGCAAGTTTGCGGCTTCTGATCTAGAGCTAATAAAGATTGTCTCATCACGCAAGGCAAGGGAACAGGTGAGGATGAAGGATTGCAAGCAACAAAAAGAGACACAGGTAACATACCTCATTATGAGCAAACTGGAGTTTGTTCCACAACTCTCTTTCTTGCCATGCTAGTTTCTGGATCGTGTCAATAAGCGTATCAAAGCCCCTGGCCAGAGCTATGATCTCTTTCCTTTGCTCATTCTTCTCTGAGGTTCGAGCGGGAGACATTCTACAAAACCCCAACAATTAAGAGTGGTTGACAACAGTGCATTGAGCAGAGGGAGAAACAAACCCACTAGTCACATATGGATTGCTACCCTTTTTTCAAGGAATCAACTTTGCACAGAATTCGGGAGGGATAAAATAGAGAAGAAGACAAAGAGAAGAGAAATCAGAGATGGTTCTTGATGGGAAAATGCCTGGAAGCTAGCCAGGTTAAGCGATGTGGTCTGTGCACCTGCGTTCGGCGAACACATCACATGATTTATGCCGTTCGTCCCAGATCACGTGCCTCAGAGGAAAAAAAGCTGCTGTTTTATGAAATTTCCAGGATGAGCAGCAGGAGAAAGAGAATAATAAATAACACAGGCACTTGACCACTTATTGTAGAGTGTATGTAGAGTACTGGGGGAAACGCTGAATGGACAGGAACATAATTGAGTTGGCTTTTAAGTTTTAGATCTACAGCTAAGAGCTCTATAAAGCGTATACTGATTTCTTATTTTATTTGCTGTTTTCGTCCAGGCTGGCTACAACACGCATCCCTTTCCTTCCCCTCCTCTCTCCCCTTCACTCTCTTTCACTCTCTTTCACTCTCTTTTTCTTGCTCTCTCTCCCTATATATATCTCCCTCTTTCTCTCCTCCTTTCCCCCCCTTCTCTCTCATTTCCTCACTACTCGTTCTCCTCAAGTATGAGTCTTCCTACCTCAAACCTTCCCACATCCAAGCATAGCGATGCCACCACCACCCAAGACGCCCTCCACCCCCCCACCAATACCTCCGCCGCCGCCGAACTCACCAGTCTTAAGATAAGGCTGCGCGGTGCACTGCGTCAGTTCCCAGACTTCCCCTCCAAGGGTATCTTATTCGAAGATATCCTCCCGATCTTTGCAGACGCCTCTCTCCACGAAGCCCTGATAAGGTGTTTGGAACTACATATTATCGAAACATATGGACATGACCAGAAACCGGATGTAATCGTTGGTTTGGAAGCCAGGGGGTTCTTGTTCGGACCATCACTGGCGCTGAGATTGGGAGCCGCGTTTGTGCCAGTGAGGAAGAAGGGCAAGCTCCCTGGGCCCGTCGAAACGGAAACCTATCAGAAGGAGTACGGTCAGGATTTCTTTCAGATGCAGGTAGGCTCTATCAAACCTGGGCAGAAGGTTGTTGTGGTGGATGACATTATAGCGACAGGTATGTGCTTCTTTTATACGATTTTTCTTCCTTTCTCCCCCCTGGTACATCCTTTTACGCCCGACAGCATGTTGCACTTTTGCACATTATACGTATCCACCCACGTATACCCTTCGCGTGTTATAATATAGTATCTGGTATTAATTCAGAGAACTCCCTACACAGGCGGATCCGCATGTGCAGCTGGAACGCTTGTTCAAAAGCTAGGAGGAACGCTGCTCGGCTTTATCTTCATGCTTGAGCTTGACTTCCTCAAGGGACGTGAAAAGCTCCCTGCTCCGACATACACGCTCCTCTCGACACAATAATTCCTTCTGCCATTTAACATTGAAAAGCCTTGCTACGCTCAACCGTGCCTTGATTGATACACGTTTGATCTTCGTTTTATTTTCCAGAAAATGAGAAATGACAAAAAAAACTAAAATCAACCATGAAAAAGATGACATAATTACACGGGAGGATGATACCATACCGGTGGAGGATTTTCCTTATTTCAAACGCAGAAAAAGATTATGCAGCCCTAATACCTCTGATAGACCTAGCTTTGCTGCCACTCGATTTTTTTTTTTTTTTGTTCATCATGACTTCTTGAGCTTGATCCCACATCATGCATGTCTTGTTTTTATGAAATCTCCCCTTTTTACCCAGTCCGTGCTGCCACCCATAATAATATATTCCATGGCCGTTCTCCAATTTTTCTTTGTTTTATGCGACTTCCTGTCCCAGATGGCCGTCGAGGCGAGAATATGCGTTCGAAGCCATAAATAATAATGCCAATTTCCAAAAAGCATTCTCTAACAAACTGTTCTTCTTCTGCCTCGAACTAATGCATCAATTGGAGCTAAAACTTTCCGAGAGAATAGGCCATTGCACTATACATCAAATCTGGTCTCTATCTGCAAATCTCTTCCTGCTTTGTGAGACAGGAGGGTTATTTCTTACGAGTAGTATCTTATCTGTCTCCAATCGGCTTAACAAGAGGAAATATTGCACATGTTTCACAACCTGCCCAGCTGAGTCACAACGAACGACCTTCCATACAGTAACAATGATAATCATTCACCTGTGCGGAACGATCAGACATTTCGAAGCTCATCCGTCAATGGCTGTTACAGAGATATTTCTGGATTCTAGAACAATATGAACAGGAAGTCAAGGAACACTGCGGCTGAGACAAAGGTTGCCGCGCCCAACCCACGTGCCCAGCCATTTGAACCTGCTCTCCTATCTCCCAATGCTTCTATTTTATATATGCAATGCAATGGCTATTCAAGCATCCCCCCACAGTCTATGTTTCCTAAAAAAAAAAAAGAAAGAAAGAAACCCAAAAACTGTCTGTTGTACTCGTTCCCGCCGGGATAACTAGCTAGGATTCGGGCTCGCCACCTAGACTTCGGCTTAATTCTGCATAGTTCTGCAAAGCCTAGCTCTAGATTGTGTCCTCCCCAGCTGTTGCAAGCTCCTAAGAACATATCAGTGGGACTGATGATATAGCTTATTTTGAGTGTGTCAATCATAGAACATCCAGGCTGCAGGTATGTATTTAGGTCTACAGAGTTGAAGATGCTGTCATCACCCATTTACAATATATATAATAACAAGGAAAACAACTGTGGATTTTGTAAATTACTCTTAGATCTTAACAGAGCCTGTTTCTGTAGCTATATATGTGTATGTGTACAAGGTGTTTATCTTTTCACATAACCTGGCTTAATTTAACTTACCATCAATTTGCCTTAAAAACTGCAAGTTATCAACAAATAAATTTATCATATTTTGGGGATATATAAGAGGATGACTACTGTTGTTACAGGAATAACTATAAGAAAAGATTTTACCCTCTAGCCCCTCTCCATTGAGTCCATCCCGTCAAGCCGCATCTGAAACAGAACGGACCGAATTCCAAGGATAGTCCATTAATGAATTAATGATACTTGAAACTCATCCAAGATAAGCACGACTTTTCAAGGATGCATGGACGTGAGATACCAAACCGCTGCTGCTAGGCTACTAGATAACTAACGGCCTTCATCACAAGCCAGCACTAGCAACTCATGTTCAACATATCCTGTGGCAGATATTATACGTAAAATGGATTTCGCTGTGTCCCAATTCAGATGTCAAGAAGAATCTCCCAAGCAAGGATATAAATAGACTAACTATACCTGCATTTTCACTGACAGAAACCGAGTGGAAGGAGAGGCAACTTTCGATCTAATGTATTAACAGTGCGTAACTTCTTCGTAGATAACTGTGTATACTACTGTGTAGTTTATCCATTGGGGATATTTCGAAACTGGGTTAATGCACAGTTGATGTGGACTAGATGGGGGAAGGGCGGCACAAACTGTCTCCTCTGCCGACTAGCCGAACTCTATTTGCCTATCTATTGGCTGAGGTGCTTCCATAGCCGCGCTAAGGACGCTATTTGAGCCGGTGGCGACTCTTCCAAGGTTCTCGAGGTCCTGCCGCAGTGCGTGCCGCCCAGTATCGAAAGGTTTGAACCCGGCTATTGAGGGGTTCGCTTATCAATCCCGGTTCCAATGTGCCGGCGCGACGCTGTGCTGCCGGCTAGTGCATCGTCTCTATTTTGTCCGAGAAGAAACACCACTCACAAACCTGAGCTAGCCTTTATGAAAATATCTTGTCTCTCCCTCCTCCATCCCTTGTCCACTTCTAGTGAACAAAATACTAGCTCTCATGCGTACCCCTCTCCGTATCGCCGTGCTTGAATGCGACGTTCCCCTGGACCAAACAAAGTCCAAATACAAGGACTACAGCGGGGTATTCGAAGACCTATTCTGCTCCAGCGCCAAACTGTTAAATCAGCCCGACAAACTCGATCCGGCCACGGGGCTTGAGATCTCAAAGTGGGATGTCGTGGAGGGCGATAAATACCCGAACCTGGAGGACGTTGATGCCGTGTTGATAACTGGATCCAGTAAGTATAAAAAAATATTGATTTTATTTGCCACTCCCCGGCAATGATGATCCTGATCAACGAGCTGAGAAATTGCACAGGACATAATTCCTACGACGATATTCCTTGGATAAACAGACTAGTCGAATTCACATCCAAGGTCCTCGCGCAGGATCGGGTCCGCATCATCGGTGTGTGTTTCGGCCACCAAATCCTCGGAAGGGCACTGGGGGCAAAGGTCGGCCCTAATGAGCGTGGCTGGGAGGTTGCAGTGCATGAAATGGACCTCACAGATAAGGGGAAGGAGCTATTTGGCGTTACCAAATTGGTAGGTGGATCCTTTTTTTCCTTTCCCCTTCCTCTCTTTTATTTATCTTCCCCCCTTTCTTAAAATGTTCAGCAATGCTTCCAATCAAACCTAAGATCTGCCTATTAACCAAAAACCCCCAAAACAGCGCCTTCAGCAAATGCATCGCGACATAGTCCATTACTGCCCTCCGAACGTTGCTCTGCTGGGCTCCTCCCCAGTTTGCGATGTACAAGGCATGTATTCTCCCGGCCGGTTTATATCCGTCCAAGGTCATCCCGAATTCACCAAGGACATTGTGGCAGAGATTCTTCATGCGAGGCGGGATGCGGGAATCTTTCCCACGGGGATCTATGAGGGTGGATTGGCTACTGTTGGGAATGAACATGACGGCCTAGTAGTTGGGAAGACGTTTTTGGAATTCTTGATCCACTGATGAGAGATGAGTGATGAGCAGCGAGGGCTTTCGTGAGGTTGTGAACCCGCCACACGCTGAGAGGAACATGACATAGATATCCATGGATCAGAATTAGATGCTCTTATACATCCCTGGTCTGGCTCCATTGCCGAATATTGTTTTTAAATTCCATGTTTATAGATACCTAGATATTTAAATGCATTGTCCTGTGCTGTACAGCAAACTATGATAGGTAGGTTAAAAGGAAATTATTTTACTTTCCACAATGCAGCTTCCTCGTCTGACCATATGCACATGTATTCATTCAATGTTGGCTCTCCAATATCCAGCTTTACCAACCCTTCAAATGCGGAGGGGTGCACCTAAAATAAGACAGAATGCTATGTCTGCCCTTCGTGCGATATAATGAAGGTCTGCAACGTAATCCATAAACCCGTGGTCCGTAATCCCGCCATTCGAAAACTCACGGAACCCCAGAGCCTTGCTCAAACGGACTTATTAAGACAGGGGAATAAAAAGGAAATACAAAGGGATTACACAGTATCAGGCCTCTCCAAAAATCCCGGATCAGAATCAATCCTGCTCTCGAACTTCGTCCACCAATCCCTAAACACTCTCAACGGCACAACCTCCTCACCCGGCGCCCTGGGATCCGTAGCCGCAAAGCTAGCCAAATAATTAAACGCATTACCAATAATCCGCTGCGCAAGTGTTTTGGTCGAGGGTGCCGACGACCACTTAGTCACCACCCCCGCGCCCTGTTGGCCCGCGGACATCTTCACTAGATCCACCGAGGACGGGAAAGACGATCTTTGCAGCTGGTTCTGGCCCTGGTTTTGCAGGTCTGTCATCTTCGACGCTACGGCCTGCACGGGTTCGATGGTGATGCCTAGCGTTATCGTCGCGTTGGGGTTTATCTCCGCTGGGTTGGCGGGGACGGTGGCGCCTTCGTCCATCATTTCATCTTCCTCTTCTGCCTCCGTGCGTCGACGGGCGGAGGGGAAACTGACCCTGAAGATGGCGGAGGGTTTCTCATTGGCGATTGCGCCCAGGAATTTAAATTCCGGGGCCGCGCTAGTCGCGGTAGTTGTGTTGGTAGGGTTGAGGATGAGGTCCTTTGGGAATTGGATGTAGACCGCTGCTGCGGTGTCCGGGGGCAAAACGACACCGGGCAGGAGGAAGATGACTATGTGCGAGAACTTGGGGAGGGCGGGAAAGGTGAAGGCGAAGTTGTTTGCGGGGACGGTGGGGTCTGAGGACAAGGGGACCACGTCGGTGAGGCAGGGCCGGCTGGGGAGGACGACGGAGAACATCGCTGGTGTTGTCCGTAGATGAGCTGGTCATATGCATAAACCTCGTCAGGGTATGGGTTTGTATATATATAATATATAAGTTCTGCTATAGCGGATTTAATTTTAAGTTCGGCAATGGATATGTTGTTTCGAAAGGGCGCAACCATGGGAAGCTTATTTTGTTTCTCAGATCGATGACGTCCTGGCTCAGGAAATTAATCTCGCGTGTCGATCCAGGGTTGTTTCTGATATATGAAGCATTCTTAGCGAGTGACTCTGTGTATGTTCCTTGAAATAGAGAAGATTGGCAATATCAATAGAAATTATCTCGTAGATTCCCATCGAATTGTCTGCGACTGCGATCTCCGAGCTGTATCCGCACAACTAGTCTGCGGCTTCTAGTGGCTGACTAAGCATATCCTCGCCGTTGCCAATCAGAAAGAGCCTGTGAAAGATTTCTGAGTGACGAAATTCTCTACACACACTCTGAACCGCATCCAGCTTAATGTTGTTCACCATCATTTATTATTTTGAATTGATATGTACTTTGCGATTGAGTTCTTAAGATATGTGTAAGATCACCTATGCGTTTTTAATTTAGATTAAGAGACCTAAGCATTCCGGTGTCATAATCCTCCCCCCGCCCATACGAGCAGAAGAAATAGAAATAAAAACAACAAAGAAATATCAATTCATCGATTAATCAAATCCATAGTAGTTAATAACATTGCCAAAAACGATGAAGGTCACCCTTTATAGAACTTAGTCGGCACAAATGGCGTCGCCGCAACAGTACCCTTGCGCACTTTCTTCCTAACCAGAACACCTACCTCGGTCCCCTTTTTATGGAACCCCTGCTTCACATATCCTAACGCGATATTCGCCCCGCCCAGTGTAGGGCTTGGCATACCAGACGTCACAACCCCAATTTGCGTCGTGCCATCTGCCATGTCAACAATCAGTGCACCTTCGCGCGCTGGCGGTCCAGACTCGATGGTTAGGCCAACACGACGCTCCGTGAGAGTCCTGGCGGGCGATGCAAGCTGTGGCAGGATGACCGAGGCGCCGTTGAAGCCAGAGGAAGGGGACGATGGGTCGCGCCTGTCTTTGCCAACGAGCCACCCGAGGCCTGCTGTGGGAGGGGTTTGTGCGGATGTTATGTCATGGCCGTATAGACACATTCCTGCTTCGAGACGGAGGGAGTCGCGGGCAGCAAGGCCGGCAAGGCGGACGTCAGGGTTGGAGAGGAGGAGTTCACAGACCCTCATAGGCAGCTGTGCGTCGGTGTCTGTAGGGATGGAGATTTCGAAGCCATCTTCGCCCGTGTAGCCTGTTCGGGAAACGAGGAGGCGGGATGGAGAGTGTGTTCCATCTGGGAAACTGATGTGGAGAGAGCGGCATTGGCCGAAGTGAAGGGTGCTGAGGTCCGAGTCTATGGAGGCTTCACCAGGTGTGATGAGGGATTGGAGGATGGATGCGCTTAGGGGACCTTGGAGTGCGACTAGAGCACGGTTATCGAGGATTGACCAGTTGATGACGGATTCGCGGGAGGAAGGGTCATGCGTCTGTCTGAATTCCTCAATTTCTTTCTCGAGAAATTCTAAATCTTCCTTGCGGCGGCCAGCGTTTGTGACTAAGTAAAATGATTCGGGGCCCAAGCGGGTGATGACGGTATCATCAAGTATGCCCCCGGTTTCTCTATCGAGGAAGCAGGATAACGTGGAGCAGTTATCTTGTAAAAGATTCAAGGACGAAGGGGTAATTTTCATGAGAAGGTCAAGAGCTCCAGGGCCGCGAATATGGTGCTGAACCCTAGGGTGTATTTGTTAGTTTTGCGATATACTAGAGAAGATCGAAACAGATATAAAATCAATGCTGGCTGAATAACATACATATGGCTCACATCAAACAAGCTGGCCTTGTTTCTTGTCCAGTGGTGACTTTCAGCATGGCTCAAATCGCCGTATACCAATGGCATGGAGAACCCGGCAAAGGAAGCCATCTTGGCCTTGTGTGCCGCATGAAGATCATAGAGCTGGGTCTTCTTCAATGCAGATGCAGCAGACGAGGATGAAGAGAAGTTCAACCTTGCGCCTGCCTGATGAAGGGAAGCGTTGACTTGATAGAACAATGGCACGCAACCGGGACGGGAAGTGTTGGTGATTGTGCGGAGAGCGGCCTGCGGCTGTGATCGGGCGTGAGAGCTCAACAATCTGGAGCCATTGGCAGTTCTGAAGACGGGTGTGGCATATCCAGACCGTAGCCGTAAGACAGTGGTCCCTTTCAGAAGGGAACGGGCAGTTAATGGCTTCATGGTGGAACGTATGCCAACCTGCAGTTTGACAACAAATGAAGGTTGAGAGTTGGGGGAAGTTTTGGCGGGGGGCAGATCCCGGGGCAGAGGTCCAGGTCACGTGTTGATAAGCTCTCGGGCGAGACAAGACGGCTTCTGGAATGAGACGCGACCGACCAGTGCGGTCTTGGCATTTCCGGAAAGCCGCTACAGCCGCCGAGCCTCATTAGCCCGGAGTGTTTGCGGGCAATTGGCGAAGCAGGAGATCCGGGAGCCGCTAGTCTACCCTGGGACTAGTGGCGGATATGAAGTGTCCCCCCCGCGAATAAGCGCGCGGAACCAATTCCGTACGGATCTTGGGGCAGCTCCTACTTGCTATCAAGATCTCCGAGAGTTCCCAACTTTAATCTTCTGCCGTACCAGTCAGTGTACATGTAAATGTACTTGTCCATGTTCTGTAGGTATCGCAACCATAGGCATAGGCTCACTTTTATCAGATATTTCTCCTCCTTGACCATGGCATCTTCCTGGCTTCACATTCCCAAGGAATCTCCTTTCTCGCTAGCAAACATCCCTTTCGGAATCATCTCCACTACTGCCTCACCTAATCCTCGCCCAGCAGTCGCAATTGGTGATCATGCCCTAGATCTCTTCGTCTTCTCTTCCGGCGGCGGCTTTTCCCAGTTGTCGTCCTTTCAGCAACACCTTGACGTGTTTGCCCAGCCGACATTGAACGATTTTGCAGCTCTTGGTCGACCTGTTCATCGCCAGGTGCGGGAATATCTGCAGGCGGTTTTCAAAGAGGACACTCCCTTCCCGGAGGTCCTTAAAGCAAACGAGAATCTTAAGCAATCAGCACTGGTTCTGCGAAAAGATGCCACTAACCATCTTCCCCTGAGCATTGGTGATTACACAGACTTCTATGCGGGCCTCAATCATGCTTACAACGTGGGAGTTCTGTTCCGTGGGCCCGACAACGCCCTCCAGCCAAATTACAAACACCTGCCTGTCGGCTATCACGGACGAGCGTCATCCGTCATCCTCTCCGGACAGCCTATCCGGCGACCCAATGGACAAATTCTCGCCAATCCAGCTGCTACCCCCAAGGAACCTATCTTCTCTCCTTGCAAAAAACTAGACATCGAACTCGAGCTGGCCGTCTTCGTCGCCCAAGGCAACAAGCTAGGCGAACCCATACCCATCGACAAAGCCGAGGATCATCTCTTCGGCGTTGTGCTGATGAACGACTGGTCTGCGCGGGACATCCAGGCCTGGGAATACGTGCCACTGGGCCCCTTCAATGCGAAGAACTTCGCCACCACCATCACGCCCTGGGTGGTCCTGATGGATGCCTTGGAGCCATTCCGCACACAGGGCCTGGAGCCCGGCAACCCGCTGCTCCCATATCTGCAGGAGAAAAAGGCGGAGAATGTATATGATATCCCGCTGGAAGTGCATCTTGTCGCAAACGGCAAGGTCACCAAGATTGCCGAGTCGAACTCGAAAAACCTGCTCTACTCCTTCTCGCAGATGTTGGCTCATCATTCGATTACAGGATGTAACATGCGGACTGGCGATCTTTTGGGCAGCGGGACGATCTCTGGCGACAGATCGGGAACTCTGGGGAGTTTGTTGGAGAACACCAACGGTGGAAAGAATCCGATTAGACTTGCTGATGGGTCTGAGCGGGTTTTCTTACAGGATGGCGATGAGGTTATTCTGCGTGGTGCATGCGGGAAGGAGGGGAGTTATGTTGGCTTCGGCGATTGCACTGGCGTTATAATTCCAGCTCCTCAAATCTAGGTACGATGGCGATAATGTTCTGAATCATATAGTTACTTTATACAATTTGTAACAAGGAATAGTTATTCATAAAACAATTTAAAACCTTGACTATGTATAGTCATGTGAAAAGTAAACATAGAAGGAGCTAGCTAAGCAGTATTACTAGACCTAGTTCTTCTTAAAGTAGTTCTTGCTTCTTTCTCTCTTTGTTTCTATTGTTAAGAGTAAATTTCTTTCTTAATATGATGTTTACTGACTTATTTATTTTTCTTCAAGAATTCAATTTCTGTTTTCTTTCATAGTTAAAAATAATAAAATAATAAAATCAGATTTTTTGATAATTTTTCTGTAAAAGGTGTTGGTTGATTACTACACCTACTCTAGTCACGTGCCACCCCAATCTATTTAGTGTAACTCGCGTAGATAGATTATATATTAAAAGATTATAAAGCTCTTTACAAGCTTTAAGAACTGTAATAACATGCTAAATTAACATCTTCATGTGTTATTACAAGCATGTCTAGATAATTTACTGATTATCTGAATTCATAATTAATCTCAGATTCAGAAGAATATCTGACTTAATAAAAGAATATATGTTTTCAAGACAGAGAAATGAGAAAATATCAGAATACTAAATGCAAGATCACAGATTATTGTTAATATTAATAACAAATCAGAAAATAGCTTCTGAGAAGCTGAGAGAAACAATTGCAGAGAAACAGTCTGATAAGTTCAATAATAAATATAAAGATCTAATTAAAGATATCAGTGAGATGTTAAATAATATAGAGAGCTTAAGTGACTAAAATAATAATAGCTCTGTAAGTGAGAAGACTTATATAAGACTAGAAATTACAGAACTTCAGTATGAGATTGAGTAAATAAAGATCAGTAGAAATAAGATCTCTGTAGATAATAAAATAAAAGCGTCAGTATAACTCAGTTAATAAGACTGATAATCAAGACTGCATGTAGCGGGCTGCGCCCGATCATTATATAGACTATTTCATTACACTTCATAGATTCCGCTGAAAGCTCCGATTCTCAGTCATTCTCAATTGCTGATTCTCAGTCAAAAAACTCGTGAAATTTCTATTCTTTCATCTCAAAGCTTCACTGTGTATGCTACTATGTATGTGTATAAATATTCACTTTAATCACTGATTCTCACACTTTCTCTTTCTTTTCTTCTTTAACATTTTTCACTTTCATATTATAAGACCTATATATTATACTGATTTATTTAATGTAGATCTCTTACACTTGAAAAACATTCATTATCTTCTTATTAGAAATGATTATTTATTAAGAAGATATCTAAACATATAACAATGTGTAAGAAATAAAGAAATAATTAATCAGTTAAGTAAATACTAAGTGTCTATATAGAAGCTTACTTATCAGTCACTCTGACCCTGTAACAAGATCTTACAAGAGAATGTCAGTGAAAGATCTGAGAGTTCTGACATCTTAGATATATAAGATATTTATATGATTACATTCTTCTAATTTCACAGATAACATACATTTAATAAATAATACAGCTATGTTTACTGATAATATAAGAGAACTCTTGAATGCAAGTATAGATACAGTATCACAGTGACTCTGAGTAATATTGAAATTATAACAGCAATAGATAGCTGATATACATGTAACTTAACAATACTAATACAAGGAAATTCAACAATTATCTTAACTAGAAATCTCTGTATAAGTAATTTCAATACTGACTGAATCAGATATAAACATGTGAGTACTGAAGAAATGTCTAGATACTTCTACATATTTTAATACTTCTGATCTCACTCTCTATTCATTATAAAGATTGAAAATACTCATGAAACTAAGTACAGATAAAGATGCTATCAGTTCATTAATTAATCAAGATTGATATATCAATGAACAATTGAAGAATCACACAAGATAGAAGTTCTATTCATGAATGAAAGTATACAAATCAGTATTACAAATGTCTGATAATATTATTAAATATCTTGATATTCTATTTCAAGACACTGCTATGTAACAGAAAGTATTAAATTGATTACAGAGTATCTGACAGAGAAATACTTCTCTTATAACATTTATTTCTGACTTCAATATCAAGATTCTAGAAGTAGATAGTTAATCTTGAGAGAATTGAATAAAGATTAGTATACTTAAGAAGACATTAACTTTCAAACTCTTACAAGCTCTTATAAGTGTAGATAAATACTCAACTTATAAAGACTTCTATATATAACTCTGAACATTGAATGACTGTCTGATCAAGCTTAAGAGTATATAAAACAGTAACAGAAGATGTTACATCTCAGCTACTTATATATCTGCACTAAAGAATGACAATATAGATGCTATGAATTGAGTGAACTCAAATATCTATATATAAATAAGAGTCTTCATCACCTGAATAAATTTTCAAGTTTTTGAAATTACTTCTGAAGAAGTCACTGATCAACATTAATAAGAGATATATATTAATTATAACTGATCAGAATATATCACTTTCAACTGCTAATCAGTCTATATATCTTCTTATTCAAAAGAAAGATTAATGTTGATAGTTTATGTTAATCACATTGCACTGAAGAAAGATTAAGAAGATAACTATGAGAACATTCTAATAAAACAGAGAAAAGATTAGCTTCTGTTCAAATTTATAAACAAAAGCTTGAAGAGATCAGACAATAATAATTTAAAGAGAAAATAATAATGAATACAATTCTTGTATCTACTGTGATCAATAATATATATAATATGAAAGTCATGATAGATAGTGATCTATGTCACTATATAATAATTAAATCTTCAGTTGTAAGATGTTATAATCTTCAGTGTATTTTCTTGTCAAAACTCTGACTTCTTAGAGAATTTAATGATTCAAAAGACATTCACATCTGTTACATAGTAAAACTAAACATAGATATCAGAGAATATCAATATGAAGATACTTATGCATATGAAGTTGATAATCTTGATTATAATCTTATACTAGAACTTGCCTGACTATCTGAACAAGACATTCTATTAAATGCTTAAAATAGAAGCATAATATTCTTCAATAATAATAGAATTCATAAAGATAATATTCATAAGACTATGAATCTTACACAGATCTCTGTCAATGCTTATAAAATGCTCTGAAAAAGAAGTTATTAACAAGATTACTGACAAAGTCACTGATAGCAGAATTATATTATAATCTATTTCATCAGTCTGACTGATATTAAGAAAGCTCTAGAGAAGTTATCTCATACTATAATAACAGATTCTCATATAAAACTCTCTCAATAATATTATGAATATCTAGATATCTTTCAACAAGACAAGATTATGAATATACTCTTCTTATGAGATTCAGAAGTGAATCACAGTGTCAAGTTAGAAAAGAAGAATGATAAGAATCTTGAGCTATCATGAGACCTTCTTTATAATATGTCTCAAGATGAACTTCTTCTTCTTCAGAAGACACTCAATGATCTATTGAATAAGAGATTTATACATATTAGTAACTCTTCTACTGCAGCTTCTATTCTCTTTATAAAGAAATTAGATGAAGAACTCTGATTCTGTATAAACTATCAAGATCTGAACAGATTGATAAAGAAAGATTATTATTCTCTACCTCTTATCAATGAAACTCTAGCATATATCAGATGAGCTCAATAGTTTACAAAGCTAGATATTATTATTATATTTCATAAGATTTGTATCACTGAAGAAGATGAATGACTTACAGCATTTCAAACATATTATAATCTCTTTGAATAAGTAGTTATATTCTTTGAACTGATTAATACTCTTAGTATATTTTAGAAGTATATCAACTGAGCACTCTGAGATTTTCTTAATAAGTTTGTATCTGCATATCTAGATGACATTCTCATCTTTACTGATAAATTCAGAAAGAAATATCAGAAACATGTACAGAGAGTATTACAATATTTATAAGAAGCAGAACTATTAATAGATATTAACAAGTGTAATTTCAAAGTCAAGAGTATAAAATACCTAGATTTTATCATAGAAACTGATAAGAGAATGTGAATGAATTCTGAGAAGATCTCTGTTATTCTTGAATAAGAAGCTCTATATACTGTGAAAGATATACAAAGCTTTATCAGATTTGCTAACTTCTATCAGTAATTTATATGAAACTTCTCAGATATTATGAGATCACTTACAGAACTTATTAAGAAGAACTCAGTATTTCAGTGATTATCAGACACTGAAGTCATATTTACACAGATGAAGAGAATACTTATTAATATCTCTCTGTTAATTATATTTGATTCTAATCATGAGATAGTTATTGAAGCTGACTTCTCTGACTATGTCACAGAAGAAGCTATATTGTAATATAATAATAAAGATATCTTATAATCATGCATCTTTATGTCTAAGAAACTGAGTTCTGCTGAATATAATTATGAGATCTATGATAAGAAACTTCTTGTGATTGTATACTGTCTAAAAGAATGAGATTCTGAACTCTGAAGTATCTTCAAATTTGAGATAATTACACATTATAAGAATCTCAAGCATTTCATAATTATCTGTAAGCTTACTGAACATCAGATATAATGATCTGAGTTATTAAGCTATTTTCATTTCACTATACACTATCACCTCAGCAGTCAGAACTTGATGACAGATGCTCTCTTATAATGAGAGTAAGATATGCCTTCTAATGTAACAGACATCTGTTAAATGAACTGAGAACACTGGCTTCTAGATCTGAAGATATTAATTGATCAAGATGAAACAACTCATGACACTATACACACTTCTCTGATTAGAACACCTTCTCTCTGAACTGTCATTAACACTGACACTGACACTGACACTGATACTGACACTGATATTAATATCTCAACTTCTTCTGAATCTACACTGAATGAATTATAAGATATAACAGCTCAAACTGATGAACTTCTTCAAGAACTCACTAAAGCAGTATGTCAAGAAGCACTCTGATTTCTCTCAGAACTATATATAAGAACTGACATCTCAGAATGCTCAATCAATAACAATAACACTCTGTGATTCTGTGAATAATATTGAGTTTCTCACTTTAAATTCTTACACACTCAGATAATACAAGAGATGCATGATTTATATATAATCAGTTACTCAGATTGTGAATAATTGTACTGAATAATCTCTCAAGAGTTCTACTGATCTGAGA